CCGAGCTCAGAGAGGGGGAGGAGAGGAGGAGGAGAGGGCTGGAGGAGGAGCTGAGGAGGCGAGAGGAGGAGGTGGAGGAGCTAAAGAAGGAGCAGGTGTTACTGGAGCAGAAGGTGCTGCAGCTGACAGGTAGGAGCTCCACCCTGAAACACCACCTGTCCAGACAAAAGTATGTGGACATTAGTACATTAGAGTGAATGGAGGAGCGTCCGGTTACTTTTTATAAGACTGATAAAAACACACAGAGGAGAGAAATCAAAACACCTTCAGCTTCTCAAACGTCCCGTCTGTCCTCGTCTCCTGTAGATCTGGACGAGTGTCCCAACTGTGCGTCGGTGTTCAGCTCTCTGGAGGCGGAGCAGAGAGAAACTTCCAGACTGACCAAGGAGAACAAAGCTCTGGTGAACGGGATCTTCCAGCTGCAGACTGAGGTACCTCCAAAACCAGAACCAGAACTCTCTGATGTCACTGAAACTCTTCCTCAGTCTCGCTCTGATCTTCTCCTTCCATCTGACCTCCTGAGACCTTCTCATCATGAAGACGTCTGAACCTTCTCTTCCTGTGTTTCCTCCTCTCAGGTCACCGATCTTCAGTCTCAGCTCCGACAGCAGACAGACACGTCAGACGGCCTCTCAGAGCAGCTCCAGACTGTGAGGACCCGCCTCCAAGACCTGGAGAGCCAATCGGAGGAGAAGACCAGCTCCATCAGCAGTTTGACGCAAGAGATGGAGCGTCTGAGACGAGAAATGAAGGTGGAGGGATGAACCTGAACTTGTTTAGTTTTCTTTAGTCTCTAACGATCTCCTACCCAAACTTCAGATCTTCACACAGACTGAGGAACATTAAAACATGATCCAGAACAGTAACCAGCAGAGAACCTCTGATCTTTGTTTCAGGACGAGGAGGATCGCAGCAGCAGCGTTTTCCACGCCACCATGGAGGAGCTGAAGAAGGAGAGTCAGGCGGCGCTGGAGAGAGCGGCTCAGAAATCCCAACAGATCCAGGAGCTGCAGGGAGAAAAGGCGGAGCTGGAGGAGAAGCTCCAACACAGGTAGACTGAACTACGGTGGCCTAGAAGGTTCTCCTGACGGCTGAAACGTCACAAACTCTCTGACTCTGTCCGTCCTCCTCCTGCAGTCATGACAGGTGTGTCCAGCTCACTGAGGACTTAGCCAATCAGAGGGCAGAGCTCTGCTGCCAGCTGGAGAGCGTGAGGGCGGAGCTTGAGTCAGAGGGCGGAGCTCTGCGGAATAGACTGAAGGAGATGGAGGAGAGGAGGAGGAACGAGGAGAGGGAGAGAGAAGGTGAGGAGAGAAAGGAGAGAGAGTCGAACAAACACGTCAAAGTGTCCTCTGTTACTGAGACTGTGTGTGTGTGTGTGTGTGTGTGTGTGTGTGTGTGTGTGTGTGTGTGTGTGTGTGTGTGTGTGTGTGTGTGTCAGAGAAAGACCAGCTCCTGGAGGAGACGCTGAGACAGACGGAGGCTCTGAGGAAAGGTAACTCCATCATCACTAACCTGATGTTCCTCCAACCGTCTGAGCAGATCTGAAGTTTGAGTTTCTCTCCGTCAGAGCTGGAGCGTCTGAGGGAGAACCTGGAGAGGGAGGAGGAGGAGGAGGAGGAGGAGGAGGAGGAGGAGAAGGAGAACAGGGAGGTGGAGGACAGGAAGCTGCCCATGGTGGAGGAGCTGAAGGAGGAGATCCAGAAACTGCAGGAGAGGAGGGAGAGAAAAAAGGAGGAGGGGAGGAGCAGGAGGAGGAAGAGCCGGGAGTTTGAGGCTGTGAGGAGAGAGATGGAGAGACTGCAGAGACTGAAGGAGGAGAAGAAGGAGGAGGCGCACCTGCAGAGGAGCACACAGGTGAGACCTTCATCATGGAAGAGTGACCTCCTGATCATCATCATCATCATCATCGTTATTGAGACTGAGTGTGTGTGTGTGTGTGTTCAGAGGTGCGGTGGGCGTGTCCTCACAGATCAGGTTTCTCCTCTGAGATCCAACATGGCCGACAGGAAGAAGACCCCCAAAACTTCAGGGAGGAAGAGGAAGAGCTGCGAGGTTCAGGTGACGAAGATTAAAGGAGCAGTTCACTGTTTTCAAACACACACCTGTGGGTCATTGTCTGACGAAGGTGTGTGTGTGTGTGTGTGTGTGTGTGTGTGTGTGTGTGTGTGTTTCAGGGTCTGGTGTTCAGTGAGAACAAGAGGAACCGACTGAGAAACACGAGAAACGACCAACAGGTGAGAAACCGTCTCGGTGGAGAACAGGTACACTCGCCACCACAGAGGTCACATGACTGAACACACACACTGAGCATGTGCATGCTGCTGTAGATCTCTGCACTCCTGTTAGTGGAGGCGGAACAGATGGCGACCCCCTAAGCTCCGCCTCCTCTCCTCTCTGATGGTCTAAATCCAAACGTTTCTCCTCAGTCGTGTTCGGTGTCCAAGGAGAAGAGAGACGGAGCTCTGCAGAAGATCGGAGAGCTGATCCAAAGTTCTCCCTCCATCCTGGGCAGCAAAGGTGAGACACTGATGTAATCCAGGAGTCTGTGTAGGTCCTGGTCCAGGTCTTTGTAGAGAGGGCAGCTGGACCGGTTCTTCAGGTTCTTGGAGATGTTTCACCTCAGGCAGAACGTCCCCAAGAACCTCAGGGAAGCCTCATAGTTATTTCCACCATCAAACAGGAGATAGAGAAGCTCTGAAGAAACTTTGATATTGATCTAAAGTTTATTGATCAGTATCAGTGATGATCAGCTGTGGTCAATAATGTAGAGTAGCGAGGACAGAGCCCTGAGGAACTCCACGTCTCCGTTTTATTAATGATGCAGTGAACTAACGAGAGTTAGACCTCACAGTCATGATTCTGTTGTTGTTGCACTGACAGTGTGGGCCAGCAGAGGGCGCTGCTGCTCAAACTCTGACCTCACTGATGCTCTGATAGTTTAACTCCAAACCTGTAAACTTCTCAAACTTTTGTCACTTTTAAAAACTTTTTAATAATCAATCATTTTATTTTTTCTCTCTGCAGCTAAAACCATCCTCAGTCTGGTCAGTGGACCTGAGGTCGTTACCGCGGCAACCAAACCCAAACGAGGGCGGAGGAAACTGTTTAAGAAGGACGCCGGGTCGCCCATGTTCGACTCCCCAGACGTGGTGAGAGACACACACACTGTGCTTGAGTTTGTATCTTTGTGAGGACCACAGACAGAATCAGTGTCAGTGAGGACAGAGAAAGTGCTGACTCAGCACTGATGACTGCAGTACCACAAACAACCACCAGGGTCCGTTTACTCAGACATCGTTCTGTTTCAGACCTCGGGGGCGGCGGCGGAGGAGAAGGAGAGCGCCCACATCATCATAAAGAGGCAGCTACGATCGAAAACCTGCAGGAAGTGATGAAGAGGAGGAGGAGGAGACCTTCATCTGTACAGTTTCTTCTTTTTTAGTTTGAATGTCAGGACTTTTTTATTTTCAATAAAGATGTGGGAGAACAGCTGATCAATCTTCATCTCACTTTATGAGAATAAAAACGATTCCCACTCGTCGCTCGGCTTCAGTTCAGTGTTTCTACGGTGGCTCAGAGGGTCCAAATACACCGACAGTCTGCACACTCAGATTCTAGTTACAGATGATTTAGATTTCTAAAGAAAAGGGTTTAAAAAGGGAAACCAGATCAACTCAGTAATCCAGATTACCCAAAAATCCAGATTAAAGCTTCAGATTAAAAGAACGTGTGACTGTCAGGAGATCGTGAGAATAATCCAACTTTATCTTCACTGTCATAACGAGGAGGGATCAGCTGATCCTGGATACGTTTATCATTCACTTATGAAAGAGGAAATCACCGAATGAAGTAATAATCTCCATATTGATCATTTTACAGACGCTGTAGTTCTTCTGTCTTAGCGTCTCGGTCTGATTGTATTTCCATGAAGAAATGATCATAAATGTTCTTCCTTGAGCTGCGGCACCCCGCTGTAGTCTGTAATGGACTGGCCTGAGGTCTCTCTACAGACAAGCATCTGCTGGAAGAGAGTAGGTGAGTTGTGTTTAGTCTCTTTGCTAAAGAAATGAGTCAAAGTTAAAAAGATGTTTGGTGTCTAGTACTATGTCTGTGACCCTATATGTCCTGTTGATGAAGTTAGGTGCTGTTCTGAGCATTATTTGTGGCTATAGAGTGGCGTTTTGGTTGGGGGCGTGTCTCTCTATATTTCTATCCTGCGGTCGTTACTAAAGTTGGTATAACTAGAGAAGTAAGCGGTCGACAACATTCATCTCTGGAGGGGGGGTCTAACTCGGGGTTACGGTGGGTTTGACCCTAAATTAATTTAACGACAGAATATCCCTTTAAGACGTTTTCTTCTCAGTTCGATCTCAGAATTCCGATCTTAAACTCGAATTGTCGTGTGAGGAAGCAGACAGGACGACTCTGTTGCACATTCAGACTTTATTCCATGTCCTCCTCTCACATTATTCAAAATCACATTTTTTCACCATAGAAATAAAAAAATTAAAGACCTTCAGCTGCAGGTCCAGGTCGGACCCCTGTAACTGGTCTGGACTTGTAGACCAGTTAAAGTCGTGGACTCGTCGGTCAAAGACTCGACACAGATTGAAAAACAAAAATAAATTTGACTCAAAAATTTTCCTGAACGTCAAAAACAAACAAAATATCTGTTATTATAAATCAGCTGTGATGAACTGGCACTTTTGGTTTTGGCGCCCCCTGTGGACGAATCAGGGAACATGTCATTCAGAGCTCAAGTCTTGGTAAGTCTGGGACACAAGAGTCCTCTTTTGGGTAGAAAAGCAGGTTCCCTGAAGTAAACCCGGTTAGACCCGGTCCAGGTTTTCTGTTTTTCTTAGTCTGAGTCTGTTTAACCAGAACCGGACCATCAGCTGTGATGATGAAGAACTGAAGGAGAACCAGGACAGAACCCTGAGGGACTCCACGTCTCAGTGTGTCCACACTGAGCTCTAGTCCGGTAATCTGGATCCAGACCAGTTCAGTACAAATCCTCAGCCCGGTCTCCAGCCGGTCCAGTACCAGGAACGCTCCATTAACTCTCAGAACCGAAGAGACTAGAAGGAGGCCTGATCCAGACCCCTCTGATCCTGAGACTCTGGGACCCAGTCAGACCTCAGAGTCATGGGTCCAGGTTTAGTTCTTCTGTGACCCTGAAGTTCCTGATCGTATCCCGGCCTCAGGGTCATTCTGATCCACGCGGCGTCCCTGCGTGGTCGCCATGGTTTCAGGGTTTTTGACCTGTGACATCACTGTGATCATGTGACTCTGGACACAAAGAGGCTCTTTGTAATGAAACAGATCTGATGGTCTGGTCCCGTGAAAACAAACGCTGAATTATTTTAACGATAAACAGACGAGAGGAAACGGATCTGACCTGAAACACGGCGAGCTCTGACCGCCGGAAACACGACAGACGGCTTCACCGTAAAAAAAGTCAGAAACTAAAGACAGGAGCGGATCTTACTGACTGTTATCTAAGAGTTTGAAATGATTCGATAAAGATAAAGTAAATACATTCTCTAGAATTTATTTCAATCATTTTGTTTTTTATCAGATTAAAAACAGACGAACATTTCCTCAGAGACGCCTTTCTCTCTGTTTCCTCTGGAGTTTATCGTGTTTATGAACGGCTTTGGTCTGAAAATCATCACAGGGTCATAAAAACGTGCGTCACAGTTTTCAGTCCACAGAGATTCATTCTGTTTTTATACACAAAGAAAATAAAACCGCTCCCTGATGATCGGCTCGGCGTCGTCTCACCTCACTGATTTATTCTCTGAAAATAAAAAACGTTTCCCTGCGTCATAAAAGTTCATTTTCTCTTTTCTTCAGCAGCGTTTCCTGAAGTCAAGAGGTCCTGGTGTCGGCTGAGAGGAACGCAAAGAATCACCATAAAGGTCCAATCTAACGGAAAGTTCTGGTTCTGAGTGAAAAACACGATAAGAAGCAGGACTTTGCAGAACTGACCCGGCCCTGGGTACATGACTTAGTCCTGATCTAAGTCCTGTACCTGAGGTAGTCGAGGTGTTTTTATCGGGGACTGAACGGTCCAATCAGCTGACCGGAACAGAGGAACGGAAAGAAGTCGGTGTAAATCGACACGTTAACTTGAATGGTTACGATCAGCTACGATCGGAGGATACGACCTTTTAGGAGACCATCAGGATGAAGGTGGAGGTCGGGGGGTTGAGTGTTTTTTTGTTTATGGACGTTTAAAACTCAAGAAAAAAAAACGTTTTATCTGCTGTAGTGAATTTAAAAATTTTAACATCATTCTAAACTTTTTAAACATTTCTTTGGTGGCGCCACTGAGTCATTTGGCCACGCCCACCTACTCAAACCAACTCAAACAAATCTCTCCAGGTGAATGTCGGCCTCGCTAAGAGACTGGACAAGAACCTCGAGCCCCTAAAACCGCCCTGATTGAGCTGTGAGGAGTCCAGTCTACGACGAAATCTAAAACCTGGACCGGACCGCCATGTTCTCCGACACTGAGTGAAAATTAAAAAAAGGTGTCGGGTTACAATTCAATAATCTGAGATTACAGATTTAAACATCGTCTGTGTTTCTCAGCTGACACCAGGGGGCGCTGTGCTGCAGAGGAAAAGTCAACCTGATATGTTTCACAATAAAAACCCGTAAAATAGAAATTTGTGCTACATCATTAAAGCTAACTTCCTGTTAGCGTCTCAGTCAACATTAGCACGCTTCATGAATTCTTCAAAAGTCCAGATGGTCGTCATGTGACCGAGCTTCGGAGTCTCTGTCTCCACACGGACGAGTCTTCACCGGGGAGACTAAAGTCCAGCTTTTCTCTCTTTTGTCGTCCGTTGTGTCGGTGAATCTGATTGGTCGATTCTTCTTAGACTATGAGGTCACACCCTGACTGATCGCCTCCTTGTTGAAAGTGATCCGGCACTCTGATTGGTCCGACAGAGGGAGGGGGAGGGGCTCAGGCTTGGTGTCCTGGGGGATGGCGGCCGACTTCAGGCGGCGGTGGCAGTGTCGAATCCCAGCAACGGTGGAGAGGGCGAGCGCACTGGCCAGCAGGGCGGCGCCACTCAGGAAGAAGGTGGCCGTGTAACTTCCTGTGACATCAACGAGCCAACCTGCAGAAAGAGAAGCAGATTTCCTGTCATCAGGTCAACGTGAGGTTATCATTCCTGACCAATCAGCTGCTGAGTCTGTCTGTTACATAAGGACGCCGTTATCTTCAGATGTTTCTCCTCGCCCTCAGTTATCAGGATTACATCACATCCTGCTGATGGATTCTCTCTGAACATCGTCTTCGCCTCACATCGACGTTTTTCAGAGGAAACATGTTTCCACACTGAGCTGACCTCAGATCAGCAAACAGAGGGCTGTCCAAACACCAGGAGGACACGGAGACGGCGTGGTGCGTTCACTGACAGCTGGGACAACAGCTCTCTTTAGTTCAACGTTTATCTAATCTTCTGTTTATGATGAAGTTTATTTTCATGTTAAAAGGTTTCACGTCTTTAAATCATCAGGATTTTAACTCTCCGACACCGATCAGGGATCGACTCGAACTTTGTTCACGTGTTCACCTGAGTTAAAAAAAGTGAGGAGCACAAAGAACTTTAGGGGTCGACCTTAGTACTGTTATTAGAAATCAGTTTTAGGTCTTTTGGTCACATGACAGTGAAGCTATTGAAGGAAAACAGCCTTTTCTGAGAACATCAACCGGTAATTTATTGACGGTCCCTTATTCAACACCGACGTTGACAGTGAGGGTGTCGAGTAGATTTAACCGCGCTGCTGTTGTTATTCCCGGTTATGGAGAGTGAGAAGACACCGGTAGATCCTCAGAGAATGTCCGTCAGATATCCAACCTGAAACTAACTTCACCGCCGTATTTACAGGAAAATATATCCAACCTAAAACTAACTTCACCGCCGTATTTACAGGAAAATATATCCAACCTGAAACTAACTTCACCGCCGTATTTACAGGAAAATATATCCAACCTGAAACTAACTTCACCGCCGTATTTACAGGAAAATATATCCAACCTGAAACTAACTTCACCGCCTTATTTACAGGAAAATATATCCAACCTGAAACTAACTTCACCGCCGTATTTACAGGAAAATATATCCAACCTAAAACTAACTTCACCGCCGTATTTACAGGAAAATATATCCAACCTGAAACTAACTTCACCGCCGTATTTACAGGAAAATATATCCAACCTGAAACTAACTTCACCGCCGTATTTACAGGAAAATATATCCAACCTGAAACTAACTTCACCGCCGTATTTACAGGTAAATATATCCAACCTGAAACTAACTTCACCGCCGTATTTACAGGAAAATATATCCAACCTGAAACTAACTTCACCGCCGTATTTACAGGAAAATATATCCAACCTAAAACTAACTTCACCGCCATATTTACAGGAAAATATATCCAACCTGAAACTAACTTCACCGCCGTATTTACGTAACTTGAATGGTTCCGATTAGCTACGATCGGAGGATGCGACCTTTTCGTAGATGTTCAGGATGAGATGGATATTGGGGGTTAACCTTCTTACCTCCAATTGGCGGGCTGACCAGGTAGGGGATGGCGTGAAGAAAGTAAACCACGCCCAGCGCAGAGGACAGGTACGGAGCTCCCACCAGGTCTGAGGTCACCACGGGGATCAGCGCCACGTACGCACCATCGAAGTACCCGTAGAGGACGGCGAAGGGTACGAGGAGAGCGAAGGAGCGGAGCAAAGGAGTGAAGAGGCAGCAGAGACCCTCCATCGCCACGGAGAAGATGTAGCACGCCAGACGGTACGGCTTCAAACACCTGAGAGAGGAGAAACCGTTTGAGAGTCCAGACTGAGAAACCGGGACAGAAACCCGGTCTGAGGGTCTTTCTTTGACCCCTAAACATGGACGCTGTTCTTTCAGTCGTACCGTCTGTCCGTCAACCAGCCGAAGGTGATGTTTCCCACGATGTCGATGACGCCCAGGATGGACATGAGGAAGGCGGCCTGCTGGTGGCTCACGCCCACGCTCAGAGCGTACGGCACCAGGTAGACGAAGGGCAGGCTGCAGCCGCTCGCCAGGAACAGGAAGGACACGGCCAGACCCAGGAAGTCCGGCAGCAGCAGGAAACGGTACTCCTTACTGGACAGGAACCAGGAGCTGAAGCACCGCCTCTTTTTTGGTAGAGGGGCGGGGCTTACGGGCAGCAGAGACTTTTCTGAGAGGAGGCGGGCCTCCGATTCTTTGGAGAGTTTCAGGGCGAGCTCCGCCTCGTGTGACGAGATGTTACCTGCATCAGGAGACAGACAGGTGAGCTTGTTGCTAGGCAACCATGAGACAGTTTCCATGAGACTGAAGCAGAGTGCTAGTCCAGGCAGGCGAGTCCATCAGAGTCCTAAATCCAGCAACAGTGAGTCTCTCACCTGGTTTTTCCTCGTCCCCCGTCTCCCCCTCCCCCTCCTCTTCCTCCTCCTGCACTCTGATTGGTCGCAGCAGCGCCCCGCAGACGCACAGGTTGGCCACGAAGGCGCTGAGGATGAGCAGCGCCCCCCTCCACGAGTACAGCTCGATGAGCAGCTGCACCGCCGGCGCCAGCACAAAGGTGCCTATCCCGCTGCCCGACATGGCGATGCCGTACGCCAACGCCTTCCTCCTGCCGAAGTAGCAGCCCACCATGGCGATGGCGGGCGTGTAACAGAGGGCGAAGCCGACACCTGGAGAGAGAGAGAGAGACGGCGCCGGTTAGGAAACACGGGGACAGAAACTTCTGATGGTTCCAGTGAAGTTTGAGAACTTCCTGTGAGGGGGGGGGGGGGCGGTACCTGTTAGAACTCCCATGCTGAGGTAGAGGAGCTCCAGGCTGCTGCTGAAGGAGGAGAGGAGGAGTCCACAGGAGGAGAGGAGCCCACCCACCATCACCGCCACCCTGCAGGACCACCGGTTACCCACCAGACTGCCTACAGGAGCTACAC